AAGTGTACCTCTGGTGCAAATTACTGACCTCTGTCATCATTTTAGGTGGGGGAACTTGCACAATCGGTGGCTGACTAAATACTTTTTTGCCCAACAGAGCCAATTACATAATTACAAATTTGATTACTGACCCGTGACCCAGTTTGTCCTGGTGCCATGTGCACTTATGGATAATGTTAAAACATGGTGTTTGTTATTGTATTGACACTTGCATGGACCCACATGTTGTAGGTCACAGGGCTGCGAAGTATGAAAATCATGCACAGTGCTTTGTTTATTTGCTTTCTATTGCTTAATTTTTTGAAAGTGCTCAAATTGTTTGTGAGATGAAGGGGAGAGGCAGAGAGTTTGTAGTCTTTTTCAAAATGTGAAATATTAAACTGTCTTTGGGGCATAAATAGTTATATATTTTCCTCTCATTACTTTCAGGGAGAAACTGACTGAATAACCTGGAGCAAATGTTGGATGACAAATTCTGTATCAACAATGAAGGTAAAATATATGAAACAGAAATATTGTTCTTTGGAGATACTGTGTTTGCAAAAAAATGTGTTTACATGTGTATTTTTTCTCTCTTTATCATCATTTGTAAAAAAGGAAAAGAATGATGAAGATTTAGTTGTTGAGCTATACTGTGAGGAAGTACATGACCCTCCATCATAGCAAGAGTTGACAGACATGAACAGCTCAGAGCCCAACAACCTGAAAACGGATGAAGAAAAGTCCAGCCAGGCTCCTGAAGACATGAAGGATGAAAACAAAGGTCGGTCTGTTACTTGTTTACACAAGTAAATGTTAACACCAATTACAAAAAATAGTTATACTGGTTAAAATGTAAATAAAAACAGGATACAACAGAAAGCAATAATTTTTAATTCTCATATCAACAGTGAAACACCTGGAGAGCTTATTGGAAGAATTGGGCGAGTGCTCCTTGTCCAAGTCAGAGATTCTCAATAAGCTTCTGAGCAATTCTCAGCAGTACCACGACACCTTTGTTCACCACAACATGGAGTGTGGTGACAGTCCAAGAAGAATTTCCAATGGACTGACTGAAATTACTTGGTATCTTCCTGGTGGAAACACAAACATTGACATTTTCAGTCAGCCAGTGGCTGTAGCTAACCTTCATGGAGACATTGCTTCATTTGAAACACAATACTCCTTTTTGTGTCAGACATCTGCAGCAGTTTTTTTCTTCGTTGATCATTTGGATTCTGAGTCTGAGTCTGTGATCAATCTGCTTAAAAGCAAGAACAAAAAAGCACAGATCTTCTTAGTGGGAAATTATGAGAGAGAAAGCTTCAATTTAGATGCTTTGGAAAAAGTAGCAACTGAGTTGGATTTAACTGAAAACAACATCATTATTAAGACAAAGGAGAAAAATGATGCAGACTTTGTAAAAGATTTGAGGAAAACTGTCAGAAATGTGGTTGAGAAATCAGAGCTGAAGATGAAAATAGAGAAGATGGTGGACGCTGCCCATGAATCCTGGTTGATGAAGACTCTCCAGAGTGCCAGACTGCAAAGAAAAATGCAAAAACCTTCACTGCAAGGATTCAAGACATCCATAAATATAAAGAAGATGAGCTTCCCCGACAAGGCCACATATGGAAAACACTGACATGCTTAGAGAAGGAAGAGTTTTGACTTCGACATGTTGGGTCTAAAAATGTAGATGATTACAAAAGTGATCTTCAGAAACAGAAAAAAGAACTGCGGCAAAAGCAGAACTCATATAAGATGTCAACAGCTATGACAAACTTCATCACAGGGATATCAAGGTCAGGAACAGAGAGGTTTTATTTCCTGAAATGGATGCAAATGAACCTCGATAATGTGTCTCGTATAAAACTGTCTGAACTCAGGGAGAAATATAAAGAAAAATGTGAAAACTCTGAAAACAAAGAGGAGATCAAAGAAATTGATAAACAAATTTCCAACAGCTCACTGGGGATTGAACACTTCTTCCGTGAAATGGGTCAGATCTATGAAGCTTCACTGTCCCTTCCAAAAACAGACAGATCACGTCAACAATTGCACCATCTGCCCAAACTGTGTGCAAAGTTGTTGCTTGATGGATTTCCTCTTGAGCTGGTAGATGGAGATGCATCCAACATCCCTCTCAGATGGGTGAGTGATGTTCTCTCTCAGCTCAGTGACCTGGTGTCTCCAAACAGAAAGATACGAGTAGTCACAGTTCTTGGAGTTCAGAGCACAGGAAAGTCCACTCTCCTTAACACCATGTTTGGAGTGCAGTTTGCAGTCAGCAGTGGTCGATGTACTCGAGGTGCCTTTATGTTGCTCATCAAAATCAATGAAAACTTCAAAAACATCCTAAACTGTGACTTCATGCTGATCATTGACACTGAGGGCTTAAAGTCACCAGAACTTGCACAACTGGACAACAGCTATGAGCACGACAATGAGCTTGCAACACTTGTTGTGGGACTGAGTGATGTCACCATTGTCAACATTGCAATGGAGAATTTAACTGTAATGAAGAACATCCAACAAATAGTTGCGCACGCTTTTCTCAGGATGAAGGAGGTGGGCAAAAAGCCTAAATGTCAGTTTGTTCACCAGAATGTGTCGGATGTTTCAGCCCATGAAAACAACTTACGAGACAGGAAACTGCTCCTGGATCAGTTAAATGAGATGACTCAGGCAGCAGCCAAAATGGAAAAGAAAGAGGGGAACAAGAGCTTCACTGATGTGATGGAGTACAGTCCAGACACTGGGAACTGGTACATTCCTGGACTGTGGAATGGAAACCCACCAATGGCACCAGTTAATACAGGATACAGTGAGGCTGTATATGAGCTCAAGAAAAACATCATCCAACTAGTGAGAGACTGTGAATCATCTGCTAATGATATCATGGAGTTTAATGAGTGGGTGAAAAGCCTGTGGAATGCAGTAAAGCATGAAAACTTCATCTTCAGCTTCAGAAACAGCCTCGTAGCTGATGCATACATGAAGCTCTGCACAGAGTTCAATAAATGGGAGTGGGAGTTCAGAAAAGAAATGTACACCTGGGTAAGAGATGCAGAAACTAAAATTTACAATTTTGGTACCATTGCAGCAAAATCTGAAACATCTGACATGAGAGAATTTCTGATATCTTTGAAAAGTGAAGCCTCCACAGTGCTGTCTGCATGGGAGACAAAGATTCTGAACAATCTGACACAATATTTTGAACAAACAGAGGGTCATGTGTCTCTAGTTGAAGGATACAAAGAGGAATTCTCAAACAGTGCAAAGATCCTTCGTCGTGAAATGTATCAGCTTGAAGCAGCAGCAGAAATCAGACAGGGAATGACAGAAATTAATAAAATCAAAGAAAGTCACAGAAAAGAGATTGAAAAAGCAGTACATGCATTAATTGATAGATGTCGAGAGAAAGGGGTCCAAATGACAGACGAAGAGTTGGACAAAGAGTTTGAGAAGATGTGGAGGGAAACTTTACAAAAACTGTCTTTCTCTGAACAACAAACCTCGAATGTCACAGACAGAGTGTCCTACTGTCTGAGAGAAAACCTGAAACACAGGGGGGGGGGCGTGCAAATGAGTTATTAAGTGAAAAGAGTCTGAAAAGTTGTGGAAATGAGTCATTCAAATATACAGCTGAAGGATGGTTCAACAAATTTAAACACACAGCAAACAAGTTACTTGCCCGTCAGGATCACATAATGGCTGCACAACATCTGGCTGACAGAATTATAGACATTTGCACAGACTTTGTGAATAAACGAGTGAAAGCAAAAACAATTACCATGACACTTACATCCAGGAGATCCTCCACATGATTGATGTGACTCTCCAAAACAATCAAGATGTCAAGATAAACATCAAGTTTGAAGTTTCGCTAAAACAGCACATCTGTGGATTTGCAGCCAGAGAGTTTCAGAAAATGCACGAAGATTTCATAGAAGAAAATGATCCATACAGATGTCTGACTAAAAACAAGGAAAAGTTTCATGATGATTTCAAAGATGTGTTTCATGAACAAGACCAGTGCCAGAAGAAGGCAGAAGAATTCACAAATCGATGCTTGAAGCCTGCTGTTGAAGACTTTGTTAATCGCTCCCTGGGCCCTGATATCATTGATGAAATGAGGAAACTCGAGCAGTTCAGCACAAGAATGTCCTTCCAGTATTCAATTTTACTGGATTTGCTCTCCAAGGATGATTTTCAAAACTATGTGAGCTACATTCGCTCATATGAGAAGTATGTAAAAACATGGATACTTGAACAGATAAAGAAGCGCTTCACAAATGAGTCGACAGGTTTTGAGTTTGAGGAGCGACATTTATGGTCATGTATTGACAGCATAAATTCTGCCATTGAAAAGGCCAAAACCAGAGAGCGTGATGACTTCAAGGCTTTTGTTGAAGACATTTGTAAAGAACTTGGTGATAAACTGGTCATTTCCCAGGATGCTCTTGGTGCTTTCATGCTACTGAACAATGCTGACAAGGAACAGTTTGCTGGCTGTCTCACAACATCTGTGAGTGACTTAGAAAAAGCTCTCAGAAGTGAGTCTAAAGTTTCTACCTTTGAAATGAAATTACAACATCTCTGTGTAGAGCCTCAGGATGAGCTTTTCAAGCAGCTGATTGGTTGTGGCAAACAGTGTCCATTCTGTGCAGCTCCCTGTGATGAAGGAGGAAAAGCCCATACTGAGCACTTTGTTTCACTGCATAGGCCACAGGGTCTGGGTAGATACAGGAACTCTGCAACAGGTATACTTGTCGCTGAATTATGCTCGTCCGATGTGAAAAGTCACAAATCATTTAGCTGCAGTGAAACAAAATATGAACCACACCCTTATAAGGATTACAAGCACATTTTTAAAGACTGGAAAATTCAACCAGACGAGAGCCTGGAGGCATCAGACTACTGGAAATAGGTTATGACAAAATACAACAATAGATTTGCCAAAGAATATCAAGCAGTACCTGCTGTCATTCCAGAAGCTTGGAAAAAAATAAAGAAAGAACAGGCAGAAAAAAGTCTCAAAGAATCATTTTACATCAAGTAACTTTCCAATTCAGGGTTGTGGGGATGACTGGAGCCTTACAGGAGAAAATAGCACAGATATAGTATTTGTAGTATGTGTGTGTGTGTGTGTGTGTGTGTGTGTGTGTGTGTGTGTGTGTGTGTGTGTGTGTGTGTGTGTGTGTGGTGGAGGTGGGGGGTTCATTCATGGCACTATAGTAGACACTGGGAAAATGCATGTAATCGTTGAATAATTATTTTCTTTAAATTATTAAATAGATATGATATGTGATTTATACATATATGTTTATTGATTGATTACATTCTTTTGTCAGATATTCACAATTTTGTTTCGAGTGACTTAAATAGAAAAGGAAATTAAAAAAAAGACTCAATATATATTTTTTACTTCTGTGAGGATTATGGTTCAAATATTTAATTGTTTGGTGTTTAGATCATGTTAGTATAAACATTTTCTTTATTCCTTTGAGTACGTGACTTTGTTTTGCAGAATTTAGAATGAGCTTTTCTTTTACTGACATATCTGATCTTACACAAACTTTTTAAAGGACTTACGGGATTCATTTTCTATCTGATGAGAGCAACAAATTGAGTAAGGTCTATTTGTCACAGTTTTTGAGTCTTTGCCATTGTAAAGTGTTAAGTAACGGGACACATGATCTCAGTCATGTGTATGTGTTGTTTTGATTTGTATGAGTTTTAATGTGTTGGCGTTAAATAAACTAAATTCATCCCCAAATATATGACAATGAAGCTTCCAATGTGTGTGTCCACATACATCTGGACTAGTAAACACTGGTCAAAGTTCAGGCCAGAACCTTCCCTTACAGACAGATCGACACTAAAACTGAATGGTAAAATACCCCCAGCAACAAATTCCTGTACTATAGAGGGCCAGATGTGACAAAATGAAATAATTAAATATGCCATTAATTAATTATATAAATGTTTCAATAATTAATTAAATGCTAATTTATTTCATTTAAAACATTGAATAAATCATTTACTTGTTTTCAATTTTATTTATTTAATTAATTATGTAGTTAATTAATTATTGAGACATTTATGAATTATTTAATTATGTATTTATTTAATTCATTTTGGCACTTCAGCACTAACTGGCTCTCTTTCCTCATTCAAATGCTGCAGCATGGTGTATGTGCCATTCCACCTCCTACAGGAGCTTTAGATGTGGTCTGCCCATCTGCTGCTGCATTTGGCAGAGCTTCTTTGCTGTTGTGCTAGACCAGAAATAGCTTACTATCTTCTGAGCCTTACCTCTGAGCTCCTCAAGTCCAGGTGTGTTATCAATTGATTTTCTGACAATTAGCTTCAAAGTATGTGCAATGGACTTTGTGTGGCACACTTTCAATATTTTCCAACATGAAATCATGTTTGGTGCTGCATCTGTGACAAAGCATCTGACCTTATTTTGGATGCCCCACTCCTCCATCAAAGCCTTCTTCACCTCAGCAGTATTTTCTGATATGTGTCTTAGGAAAATGTCCCACTCCTAGCAACACTGTGGACAGTGTATCATGTTCATTAACAAAATGACAGGTCACAGCCAAGAACCCATCCATATGAATCGATGTCCACATGTCACTGGTGAGACTAACAGCTGTAGCCTTCTCCAGTTCTCTCTTCGTCTTCTTCTTTTCCTCCTTGAACTTTTCCACCACCATTTCCTTTAGAGCTTTTCTGGTGGCTGTTGTGTAGGCTGTGTCCAAGACACCAACAAAGTCTCTGAAAGCAGCATCCACAATTATGGAAAAAGGGTTGCAAGTCCTTCACAATCATGTTCACCAAAGCAGCATCAACCAGTTGCTGTCTGGTCTGAGTGGGCTCTGTGTTCATGGTCCCTTCAATAGAATAAAACTTTTGAATAGGAGTATAAAAATGTGCTTAAGTGTCTTGTGCAAGTTGATTAGTCTTTTATGCAGTTATTCCCTGCTAGTTCTTTTTTTTTTATTATTCATGTTTTGGATAGACAGAAACATATAAGCATATACAGCAGGAGTAATAATATTGTCAGTTCTCTGTCCATTTCTCAGTATCAACAAACAAATAAGAGCTAACAATAGCTAAAGAAAACCAAAAGAAAAATGTCTTCCTGACATTTCCAGCAGGTGTCAGTGTCAGCAAGCTTCAACCTGACTAGCTTACTGGGAGTCCAGTAATTTCTGTGAAGCAACTTATATTGGATAAGCTGAGATTGTGCTTCACGTGAACAAACATACCATGATGAAACCAGCTTCTTTCCCTTGGATCCAGATTAAATTCCGCAAATGATTTCATGCCAGTCTGTCCAAATAAATCCACCACCTGGTTGATACCTGCCCTAGCCTAAGCCTCCCACCTGAATGGTTTCCGGCGGAGCTCACGGGCACGTCACTGCAACCTCCCCTGGCTTCTGCTCCGCGGCTGCTGAGTGAGCCCTCAGCTGGGACTCTCCTCAGCTCTTACTGGGACAGTGGCGCGGCTGCCCCTCTGTTGGTCTTCCTTGGTCTCTTGTGTTCTGGGGGCCTCTGGATGTCTGGAGTTTTGATCT